CACCGGTGCTGGTGGGATGTGAGGAGCTTAACACGTGTCCCACCTCACCGGCTGCCACCTTTTTGACGGCTTAAACTTTTATTTTCTTCAGCGATGTGCTATTTGTATGAAATTAAATTAAAATACGCAGAGGGGGACGCTACCCCGCGCTGTGTGGGGGCTCCCGCCGCGCTCAGAGGGGGGACCTACCCCCCCCCCCCCCCCCCGTCCCTCCCCCGGCAGTGATCAACGACGGGAAGCACGGCGCCCAGTCCGTCTACCACCTGCACCTCCATGTGCTGGGGGGGCGGCAGCTGGGCTGGCCTCCTGGCTGACCCCCCCACCTACACACCGGCCCCCCAATAAAGCATCTTCTTGGTGGTGGCTTTGGTGGCATCTCTGTGGTGGCCCTCCTGGGGGTGGCAGGGCTGGGATAGAGGTGGCTGTGGGTGTCATAGCAGCAGGGGGGGGGACATCAGCAGGAGTTGGGATGGGGATGCAGGTGGGACTTGGTGGGATGGGGATTCCCACATCCCAACCTGCCCATGCTGGAGGTGCTTTGGAACCCCCAATTGGAGCAAGTTGGCGCTTTTTGGGGGGTGCCCACATCCCACAGGGCAAAAATGGCCATACTGGTGTCAGGTAAGGGAGTGCAGATGGGATGCCACAGGGGTGTCCCCGAGCTGGGGAACATCACAGGGGTGCCAAGAGTACCTCATGCCGTGGGCAGCCCACCCAGCCCCATTGCCATGACAGCTCCTGCTCCCCTGGGTGCTCCCCACCCTGCTGCTGGGTGCCCCCCAGCAACCCCCTGTGTTGCTGCCGGAATTCCCCAGCTTTTCCCCATTGAAAAAGCGAGCTAATTGAACTAGATGTGCTAATTGCACGTTTGCTGTGCTGTGAGCTCCCTGGTGGTCCATCTGCCCCGAGTTAGGGGCAGTGCAGGACGGGGTGCGAGGTGGGGGTGCTGCCCCCTCCACGAACAAACTGCCACCACACACCGCGGTGGCCGCATCGGCTGTGCCTGCACCGCCGAGCAAAACTCACTGCACTGCACGCCCCACACCCCTGGAGTGTGTACCTGTCTGCCAAACACATCGCACTGCACACCTCTGGACCCGCTGTGTGTGCACCACTGTGCAATACACATTGCACTGCACACCCCTGGCCCCCCTGTGTGTGCACTACACATTGCACTGCACACCCTGGACCCTCTGTGTGTGTGCACTATTGTGCCATATACATTGCACTGCACACCTCTGGCCCCCCTGTGTGTGCACCGCTGTGCAATACACATTGCACTGCACACCCCTGGACTCCCTGTGTGTGCACCACTGTGCAATGCGCATTGCACTGCACACCCCAGAGCTGCCCTCTGCAGGCACCAGTGTGCAATGCACATCACACTGCACACCCAGACCCCCCTGTGTGTGCACCAATGTGCAATACACATCGCACTGCACACCTCTGGACCCTCTGTGTGTGCGCCGCTGTGTAATACACATCGCACTGCACACCTAGACCCCCTGTGTGTGCACCACTGTGCAATACACATCACACTGCACATCCCTGGACCCCCTGTGTGTGCACCACTGTGCAATACACATCGCACTGCACACCTCAGACCCACCCTGCGTGTGCACCACTGTGCAATACACATGACACTGCACAGCCAGAACCCCCCTGTGTGTGCACCACTGTGCAATACACATCACACTGCACACCCAGACCCCCCCTATGTGTGCACCAATGTGCAATGCACATTGCACTGCACACCCCTCAACCCCCTGTGTGTGCACCACTGTGCAATACACATTGCACTGCACACCCCTGGACCCCCTGTGTGTGCACCAGTGTGCAATACACATCGTGTTGCACGCACCAGACCCCCCCACCCCGTGGCTGCACCACCGTGTAAAACTTGCTACACCGCACACCCCAGACCCCCTGTGCACGCACCACTGTGCAAAACGGTGTTGCACACCCCAGACCCCTGTGCTGCACACCCCGCAGCGTGCATATGCGTGGTGTACACACCCAGTGCAGAGCACACATCGTGTTGCACACCTCCCCCCCCATCCTCACACACACACCGGCAACATACACACGTGTGTTCACACGTGTTGGCCGCGGGCGTGGAGCACGCACACGCATGTGCAGGCCACCGTCACTCCTGCGCTCCCTGCCCCGCGCCTCCCGCTCTGTAGGGGCTATATTTAGCGTCGGGGGCCGGTGCTGGCGCGGCGCTGGGCCCACCTGGCACCGCCGGCGGGGACGCCTGGGCCCCCGCCAGCCGCGCAGGGGACCGCAGCCCGCCGGGGAGAATGGCCGCTCTGTTCAGCCTCCGGCTCGGTGGCGCTGGCGGTGGGGCACCCCCCCGCTCCCCACGGGAGCAGCGTGGGGCGGTGTCAGAGCCCTGCTGCTTCCCCACCCCTGTTCCCGCACGGGGAATGTTTTCGGGGGATGGGAGGGAGGGGGGAAAATGAACCTTAAAAATGTCGGATGTGGGACTTGCTGGCGCTGCAGCAGGGGCTGGGGCCACTCTTGGATGTGGGACACCCCCTCCTTAGGGCTGGGAACCGCTCCTGGCTGGGGATCCCCAAGGGGGTGAGGATGCCAGAGAGGCACATGGGGTCCCTGGGGAGGTGGAGACCCCGAGTAGAGGCCAGGGACCTTCAGTGCAGCATCCCCTGGGGCTCACCCCGAGCAGCCCCCCAGGGATGCCGTGCCCAGCGGAGGGCAAACACTGGCATGCGAGGTCAGGGGACGACGCCTGCCGTTGCCTCTCCTCCTGTGCCAAGTTTATTTTGTCAGCCCCCGAGCAGCCCTGGGGCAGCACAGCGGTCACGGCCCCAGGGGGGGAGGGGGCAGGGCTGTTTTCGTTCCTCAGCCGCCGAAGACTATCACAAATGACGCAAGTTCCCAAAAGAACCAGGCAGGGGGGCGGCGGGGGGGATGTGTCAGCTGGCGAGAGGCGGCCAGATGTGCTCCAGCAGCGCCAGGGCTGCTGCCCCACGGTTTGCCCCATGGTGAGCGCACACCCCACTGGCTGGCATCACCAGTGTCCCTGTCCCCACACTGTAATGCTGTGCCTTTGGTGTCCCTTTGGTGTCACCCAGGCACCCATGCTGCCTGGACAGGCTTTTGGCTGCCCTGGGGACAAGCCCATGGATGTCTGGTGGGGACAAGCCTGGAAAGGGCACCCTGGGGTGCAGGTTGAGGGCAGGGTGCCCAGGCTGCCACCCCCCTCACACCCCCCTCATACAGATACACCTCAGGGGCTAGCCCTGGGCCCAGGGCCGAGTGTGGGGGCACAACCAGCAGCATGCACCCCCACTGCCCTCCCAGCAAGCACCCAGCCCTTGGGGTACCCTGGCACCCACCTCCAAAGGCAGCAGGGGTGGTATGACCCCCAGCTTTGGGCTGGCCGGGGAGGGGGGCGCCCTTTGCTGAGCCTGAGCCCCGGAGCACGTCTCTCCCTCCTCCCCGCAGCTGCGCGGCAGATGGGCTCGGAGGAGCCCCAGCTTGGCACAGGGCCGAGCACCCGGAGGGAGGAGCGGTCCCTGCTGGGGGCCCCAGCCGGCCGAGGCCAGAGGGGCCAGGCACATCCCCAGCCAGGAAAAACAAGAGGCCCCAACGCCCGAGCGTGTGGTGGCCCCGGCGGCGCACACCGCAGAGCGCTGGAATAACAGCCCTCGCGCCGGGGCCCGTCATCTGCTATCAAAGGGCCCTTCTTCTGCCCGGCCTCTGCGGGGATGGGGGGCCGGGAAAGGCTGGCGGCGAGGGGAGCCGCTCCACACCCACAGGGGCACCGACTGCGCCCAGCCGGGCGCCGGGCCTGTCCCACCCCAAGGGCCAGCCATGGGTCCCCGGGGGGCCAGGCCTAAACAGTGAGGGGTGTCGCATGGGGAGCAGCCATGTGCCCAGAGCCAGGCACCTCCCTCCCGTTGCCCCAGCGGAGCCCCCCCGCCCCTGGGCACAGTGCCCACCCCCAGAGCCTCTGGGGCCACCCCTGCCCTGGGGACAAGGCGCCGGGTCCCGGGGTGGGGGGACACGGCCCACCGGGGGTGAGGATGCTGCTCCGCCTGGGCCCAGCCATGTGCTTCCCGCCTTCCTGCCCCGGCCACGCCCACTTACCCCCAGGCCACGCCCCGTTCCGTCCTGGCCACGCCCCCTTGCCCCCCTCTCGCAATTCAGATCCTGCCCCC